GTGCAAACCATTTGTTTTGAGCCTCAGTTTCTCCAACCTAAAAATAGGAATTATAACTCTTCCTGGATTGTTCTATGAGATAATGATTATGAAATATCTTGGAAGCCAAAAAAAGCAATGTGTGATATTGAAGGTTATTATTTTTTTAATCTTTTACCAAACCAACAACAATAGTTTTCTCTATACAGATGCTGTATGAATTTGGTGTTCCTTCCTTTGGGACCCTCAGAACATTCAGGGCCCTGGGTGGACCACTGGCTCTCTCCCATCCAGCACTCCTCATTCTATTCTTCTTCATTATTTTCTCCTTTAACAATTTAATCTTCTTTTTCAAGAACCAGCAGGATTAAAAAAAAAAAAATCAGGCTCCTCTTTGGATTAAAAAAAAATTATACTGATTTTTGAAAAATTCTTCTGTCGTTCTCAATTACCTTATTTCTTCTGTCTGTCACTCGCCTTGTCTAGGCAGAGCTGTGCTCAAGCCCACACATGCCACTGAGCTTCTCTGCCTTCCAGGCCAAAACATAGACAAATAGTTCTTTTCTCAGCTCACAGAGCTCTTTCCTGCCACCACTCAAAGAACCTTTGAAATTCTGCCTTTAGATAAAGTAATCTCCGGCTGACCCAGAAGGAAGTGGTAATTTTTACTGTGAATATATCTTTATTTTCCATCACACCCAAGTGTCTTGTCCTTCTGTGCAGTGTACATGTTTAATACCCTTGTATATGTACTAGTCATTTATTTGTGAGGAATAGACTATGAAGTAAGACGTCTTTCTTTTCTTTCTTTTTTTTTTTTTTTTGAGACACTGTTGAGCTCTGGTGTGCAGTGGCATCGTCACAGCTCACTGCAACCTGGAACTCCTGGGCTCACGCAATCCTCCTGCCTTAGCCTCCCAAGTAGCTGGGACTATCGGTGTACGCCATCACCACGCCTGGTTAAGTTTTCTGTTTTTTGTAGGGATGGAGTCTTGCTATGTTGCTCAGGCTGGTCTCGAACTCCTGGCCTCAAGAGATGCTCCTGCTTCTGTCTAGTGCTAGGATTACAGGCATGAGCCACTGTGCCCGGCCCATGTTTTCTCTTTATTTATGTGTCTTTTGTTTAATCAGAAGCCTGACCAATCATATAATTTTGTTTAGTCATTTGATTAATATTATGTAATAAAGTACACTTAACAGCAGCACGGAATTTACACTGCTTTGCAGGATAGAAGGGAGAATTAAAGGAACAAATAATGGTTCTCGAAGTTAGAAACAGACCCCTTCCTCAAGCTCCCCTTCCTCACATCTAGAGTTAAATTTTATTCTCAGTGTGGAAGCCATGTGTGATCATTTTCAGTAAAGCCACAGAGTATTTTTCATGAAAGGACAGTTAGTATAAACAATCATTTAAGGATGAAGATGACTAGGCTGTGATCAACCCCAGTACTTGGAGTACTTGTAAAACATGAGTTGACTTCGATTAAATTTCACAAAATTTTAGTACACATAAATGTATTTTCTCTCAGCATTGAAAAAATTAAAAAATTATAGTCTATAATTTACCTGCTTGCTAAGAATAAGAATATTGCTTGGAGATTTATGGAGTTTTTTTTCTAGAAATCCATTTAATACATACAATTAATCCCCCTGTTTTCTATCTGTGATCTGTATACTACCACCTAGTGGAATAAATGCAAGTTTACCTGTCAGTTAAAATCAGGAAAAGGAAATGAACAAGGTGAAATTTAACTGGGGAAGAAATTTCCATGATGAGTTTTTGTTATTCCTTTTAGTGAAATGTAGCTTGCATAAGATACATGAGTTCTGAGTGGGAGAAGTCCCAGGCATTCATGTGATAGCTGATAAAATGTTATTAGCTTGTCCACAAATAAACTATTCTATTCAGAAACTTAGAAGCTAGGTCAATTATTGAAAGTATGCTGGCATATTATAACTCAAAATTATGTTGAGAGAGACTTCTCTTAATTCCTCATTACTATGGTTTGTAAAAAAATCTAAAATGTTAAGCTTCAAAGCATCCATGAAATAAAGGCATCCTTATACTTTCTTAATGGATAGGTAAGTAAAAATGCAGACATAAAATAGTCAGGTTTTATCAAAGCTGGGAAGAATGACGGATAAATACATTATGCTGAGGTTTTCCCTCCTAAACAATGAAAACAGAAAAGGCAAAGGAAGCTTTCAGGCTCTTGAGCCTTTATTGGGAGGGTAGTCCTCCCTTTAATCTCTTCAGCCCCCATTATAGAACAGACGCAAGCAAGCAAGGAACCAAAACCTGTTGTGGCTTGCTAGTGAATTTCTCTAACGTGGCTATCCATTATCGATTACTCTGTGGCCAGCCAAGCCCTTTGGTCCTTAAGTTCAGTGGAATGCTAACAGAATTTCCTAAGGGCGTGCATTTCAGATGGCATCGGTGTGCACATGTGCAAAAACTTTTTTTTAATGCCCATGAATATTTTACTACCTGATTTTTGATTATCTGAGTGTTGAGCAGTGGGCGAGGGAACTTGGTGGAGGGGAGGTAACATTGAAGTTCAGATAAAAATATCCCAAAGTGCACTTTCAGTCTGTTTTAAGAAACATTACAAAGCCATAAAATCAGCTGGAATTGAGTCTTCTCTTCTTTTACTCTCATTCTTTGCACAACAGTCACCCACCCCATCCAGGCGGACTAGGCTGCAGTTTTGGGATTTAGACAGGAGTGGTTTATATTCCAAGACTCTTAACCTAATAGTCCTGCCTTGTTACTTCCTGAGGTCTTGAATTGCAGAGGATAACCTGGTGACCCTTTTTGCCTTTGTAATACCCTCAAACCTTTGAGTCTCTCGATTTTCTTCCTTTAATAAACAGTGGCCCCTAATTCCTTGTAACTTCCTTTTGTGCTACAGGAATTTGTATGGTTTTATATTGTTGGTTTCTTTCCAGTGTTTGTGGGAAAGGCTGCCTTTTGGCTTTGCTGTTTCTGAGTCAATTGTCCCCTGCCCTTTTGATGGCATTTATCCTGTCTGGTTTCTTTCCTTCTAGTGGAGCAACACTCTTGCTACCTGCTTTGGGCAGGTGTGGTAATAGCACACTACTCAGCACCCCCACCTGCTGGAGGCCCTGCCATGTCCCGAAGCAGTCACTGGGCTGTGAAAAAGAAGGGCACATTACTGAAGCAAATAAATATATTTTACCCCCAAGACTAAAACCACTTCTGGGTTTTCAATTCCCAATCCATGCAACCTTGAAAGTTGTTACATAGCTAGTTGTTAAAACCATGTTTCTGGCCGGGCGCGGTGGCTCACGCCTGTAATCCTAGCACCCTGGGAGGCCGAGGCGGGCGGATTGCTCAAGGTCAGGAGTTCAAAACCAGCCTGAGCAAGAGCGAGATAGACCCCGTCTTACTATACCAAAAGTTAGAAAGAACATTAATTGGGCCAACAATATATAACGTATACTATGATACACATATCTACGCCTTATATATCTATCGCCGCCGTAGAGCACGTGTATGGATAGGGTAGGCTATAGGGTATAATTATGAGCTGAAGGAGTGCAGGCTGGGCTTGGCTGGTTCGTGCCTGGTAGTCCCAGCCTACGTCGGGAGGCTGAGGCAGGAGGATTGCTCTGAGCCAGGAGCTTGAGGTTGCTTGAGTAGGCTGATGCGAGCACTCACTTAGCCTGGGCACACAAGCGAGACTCTGTCTCGAAAACAAAGAACCAAAAAAAACCATGTTTCTCATCCAAGAATCCACTGACACAAAGAAATTGACAAATTGCTTTCCTCTAAAATCATAGAAGGCAGCAAAATGAATTAGACTCTTTCTCAGTATTTTCTTCTTAGAACCACATCAGGTCTTGTGGTAACTCGACTTTAAGAAGGTAATAGCTCCGCGAGTTATCGGAACT